TGTCATATAAAATATTATAAGTATCCAAGTCTAAATCCTGAACAGTATTCCAGTCTCCGCACATTATAATTGATCAGTTCTCATGAAATAAAATATCCTCCTTTAACTTTCTAAAGAAGCTAGGATTATCTTCATTATAACAATACAAATTCACGAGTGTTATTCTATTGCCGTTAATTGTAATATCTAAAAAATAAACCTTCCTTGACTGTCTTATCTTTCTCTATGAATTACAAATTTGAACGTAATTCTAAAAAAAATATTGCAACCCCATTACTATTAATAGAGCAGTGGCTAAATATACATTTGTATCCCCATTCAGCTGCCCAATATATTTCATCATTCTTTGTACTATGAGTTTCTTGCAAACATACTATCGATACATTCTTTTGATTTACCCAGTGGAAAATGTCCCTTTTAAAAACTGAACCTTGCAAGCCTTTAACATTCATAGATATAATGTTTACATTATTATCCATGAGAGCGTCAGAAATTTTAAATATACATGTTCTTGTACAGGAATATGTGAAGTAATTATCACCTTGAGTTTATCATATGCATGGTTTTCACATCCACACTCACACACACATATTCACACAAAATACTAATATCTATAACAAAAACATCCATGCTATAGACTTGGCTGCAGTTAACATTGATACCGTGAACGATAGACAACAAGTGAAACAGGTCCATTTATGATAACTCTTAATCACCTTTGACATATTTCCAATAGGCACAGATAATTAATAGTATAAATTACATAATGAATGAGAGAAGCAACAGGGTGAAGAGAGGGGAAGAAAGTATGAAAGAAGAGCATACATGAATATAGTGAGTAACTGAATGACTGAGCCAGAATGGGACAGCTGAAGTATTTAACGTGGATGAGTTGTGTTGAATATAATGAAAAAATAACTGAGTAAGTAAATTTGAATATGTGTTAAAGATGAATTATGAATTAGTGGATGAATTGATTAAGGAGAGATTGATATAATTGGCAAGTGAGTAATAATTCTATTAACTAATGCCAAAACTGATGAAGAAAAGAAAAAACTTATAAAAAAATAAAACAAATTAGAGCAGAAAGGGGAGTATCCAGAAGAAGGTTCACATACCTATTTGGCTATTTTCAGGATTTTATAGAGTTGTATATGGCACTTATACTCTAATTTTCTCATCAATATCTTAATAAATGTCAAATTTTATACTTTTTCCTGATTTAATTTTACCATACACAAGTCCGTGCGCTCTCAATCTCCTGATGAATTGATAATTTTTTGATAAGTTCAGTATTCATTTTCGTCAAATCCGCTTCCAGTATTATTTCTTTGATCTATTTAAAGTCTTTCCGCTTCTTGATAATTGGAAGTTTACAATCCAGACTCCAGAATTTGACACTCACTGACCTTGGCTTTCCCTGTCGGCCAGGTATCATATGTACAGTCACTATGTCCCTGTTATCCAAATTAATCTTTGTGACTTCCTTCACCACTTTCGGAATTTTCTAACTCAGACATTCATTCTCCTCCTCCTCCAGCCCTAAAACTTTAACATTCAGCTTCCTTGAAAATTGGTCCATTTGGTTTGAGGCTGCACTTGCTTGTTTTGATTTCCTGCCATACTCTTTCATGTCACTTTTCATTTTATCATTGTCCTTTCTTTTGCCTCTTGTAATTTTTCTCTCAATTGGTGGTTTTCGAATTCCAGTGATTCCATCCTATCCAGCAACTCACCTGTCCTCTCCTTTACTACCCTTTCACTTTCTACAGCTATCTCCTTTCTCAGATCTTCCTTTACATTCTCTATTTCCTCACAATGGTTGAGACAATTTATGTAAGGTCATCTTTTTACCAAATCAACAATAGCAGATGTAAAATTCGCTTTGGAAATGCTCCCTTTGAGGCTTCGCTTTTTTTCATTTAAGTCAAGCTGAATTGTACTCAAACTCAACTTGATTCACTCAAACTAGTATCAGATGTTTCTATTACGGGCCCACTCTGTAATCTGGTTTTCATTTGTTGTTTGTCTTGGTCTTTCTTTCCACTCATGCTTGTAGCTAATCTTGTTTGGACTAATTTTTTATCAGTACTCATTTGTGACACTGATTATTACTCACAATGTGCCAAAGAATTCTTAAAATGAAAGCAAACGATAAACACTGAAATAAGTAAATGAGTCAAACAGATGAGGTAGAAAAAGGCTCAAAACTGCACCCTGTAAGCTCCCTTCACTAGTGCATTACTTATGAATTTGAGTAGAAAAACACTTTTTTTGTCAAAATTGAGTGTGATCCATCAATAATGTTATATACCATGCATTCCTTGAATATTCACATATTATCCCAACAAATATGAACCATTTCCATGTAAAAAAAACAACACTTATAACCGTCAAAATCTAGAGCCACTTTTACTACCTTCCACCTACATTACTGCAACCACTTCCAAAAACAGACAGATCCTGCCTCACCTCATGATTAGACCTCAGTCTGAGGTCAAGACTGAGGTGAAGGCAACTCTAAAACGCCAAGTATCACAGCCAAAACCACTACCACCAGTACCCAGAGCCGCTCTCCACAGATGGAAAACTTGGAGGAGTTGGAATGACAGCGGCAAGAGTGGAAGCCACAGCATCCACGGGTACTGAATAGAAGAATGAGGCTAAAGCAAGTATACAATATTCCTCAGACGGAGGAATGGGATAGTGAAGCAAATTAAGCCTCCTCTGTACTCCCAAGAACAACACTGAATTTAAGTAGGAGACGCGTGTGTGGTGCCAGGCCTGTTAAGTGCCAGAATTAACCAGGTGCATTTGGATTTAGAAGAAAAAACAGCCGTCTAAGGGTTAAATCAGGAGGTCTCTAAAAAAGAGATACTAATCAAGTTGTCAATCATATAATTACGTGTGCGTGCGCGTACATGTTTGTCTATTTTTGTTTCTGTTTAAACGCGTGGAGGGGAACAAGAGAGGATACAAAATTGAAGACAGTTAAAAGGCCCTTTTCAGGGCCACTCCATTGTCTAAAAAGTGTTTAGTATATGCTTATGTGATAGATTTATGTTAATAAAGATTTATGTTAATAAATCTATGTTTGTGTCATATGTATATATGTCTATGTCTCTAATCCTCTCTGTAACTATGTCTCTATGTCTCTATTTGTCCCTAGCGTAGTGCGTATTCAGGTCATCCCCTTGCCACACAGTTCCGCCATATAGAGGTCAACCACTTGCAACATTGTTGCCAGTACCGTTATTAGAGCCCTGTTCAATTCACCTTGTCACTAAATCGGTCCAATCCCATGTCGCTATATATCCCTATGTTCAATTAACTTTGTCGCTCAATAGGCCCACCCATGTTCAAATTCCCCATGTTAAATTATCATTGTCGCCAAAGTGCCGGGGATCTCTCTTAACGTTTTTGTCCCCCTTGTCTCTAACGTGCCCCAACTCACTCCTAATAGTTAAACTCAATATTATGTCACTTTTCTTCTATATAATAATAATAAGTTACCCAGCATACATATGGAAAACTGAGAGGAGGAGTTGGAATGACAGCGGCAAGAGTGGGATCCACAGCATCCACGGGTGCAGAATAGAAGAATATCAAGTCTACCCAGACTGTTACTATGCAATAATTTCTCGATTTTTCAAAAACGAGGATTATATCCCTTGCCTTCCACTATTATGTACTTTTAATTAAAAAGTCCTTTATGTTTATGTCAGTGTTTTGTCGACGGTAGTGTTTGCCTAAATTATATTTATGTCTGTGTTTTGTAGATAGTAGTGTATGCCTAGCACATCCTCATTTGTATCCTTTCGTATTATTTACTTAAATTATCTTGTTTCAAAATTAGTCATTTAATATGATGCTCAAGCACAGCTTTTTCTACGATTGTGTGTTAGTCCCCGGAGTCATGAACCTGATAGTGCAACAGAGCTCTGCACCAAACTTATTATACATGGCTGCAATTATAAAACGACAACCAACGGGGTCACTGGGGGTGAGCGGGGTAAGCGGACCGCATCTGGTGACACCAAATGAATGTCTATAAACTTTTTAAATTTTGTACAGGAAGGAGCTCCACGGGGGTGACACCATGAGCTTCAGCACTTGGTGACACCAACACTAGTGACGCAACTGACGACAACAGAGACTTTCGGAGACTAAGCATGGGATTAACGTCAATGTTATGATGAAAGTGTAATTGATGCTCACGAAACATACTTTTTATTATCAGTTACATCAGCGCAATAGTACAATACTCATTCACTTGGAGACGTTTTTACATAAGTTAAACGGCTTTTAGATATGTATATTAGACCCCAGTGGATAGTTTGTTACTAAGGTGAGTAAATTATTAAGTCTATAAACCTCTCTTTTTACCTAATTTCTGTAAATCAACTGAAATATTGTGTATCAAAGCTGCTTGTTGCACTGAAAGTTTTTTTCCAAACTATATTGCAGGAAATTGATAGAAGATGAGGAGGATGTAATATAATTTTGTAAATCCCAAAATATGTAGCTAAAATGTTATTGCGTGCATGAATATTTATGTGCATAGATAGATGACGCATACGTACATATTTTCTTAGGTAAGTGCAGAGAAAGATAAGATAAGGTATGTGCAGGCTGCATCCGGTTCGCGACCTGATTTAATAAATTAGTTACATTTTAGGGTGCGTCTTTAAAAATCGCTTATCCGGTCCAGGTTCTGGAGGAAGTTGCACATGTTTGAGATAGATGGATAGTGATGTGATGTGATGTTATTTTGATTGTTAACGTAGCTTTAACAATTTTTCAGTCATATCGCTACGATGTCTGCAGTGTGGCAGTTTATAGTGATGTCTAGTACTGGAACATCATGCCGCAGACATGTAGCATGATGTCCCACCCAGTCACATTATCCTGACATCGGGCCGACCAGTCCTAACACTAACCTCTTAATGCTGAACGCCAAGCGAGGAAGCTGTTAGTACCATTTTTGTAAGTCTTTGGTATGACTCGACCGGGGATCGAACTCACGACCTCCCTCCATCCGAGGCGGTCGCTCTAACCACTAGGCCACCAGAGCGATTGGATTGATAGCACTAATGTACCTAATTAGCTGTTGCATATGTCGACAATTAAAAGTATTTAAATAAAGTTTAAAATCCAGCCGGTTAGATGATGAAGATATTATGAGACATTATACATGTTTGTGAGCTGGAAATAATATGCTTTTCTCTGTTAAAGTTAGATTATTCAGATATTTATGTTGCGCAATGTAATACGTTCGTCTGTGGAAAAGCAGTTAGTAAATATAAGAAAAAAAATGATTAAACCAATAGTCCTAATTTCCTATTAAACCTCTAAAATGGATGAATGGCTTCAACATATTAGTAAACTATAATTGATTCAGTTTGCAAGAATTATTGAGAATGGACGTGTTTTCAATGATGACGAAAATCTAATAGTAAGAACTGTATCCTAAAAACTTTATAGGACTTTGATATTCACTTACATTCTCAGATAATAGATAGATGTTGTTTGTTGTTGTTGTTGTTGTTGTTGTTGTAGGGTTTAACGCCATTTTTCAGCACAAGATAGGCTATATATCTTGGCCAGTATTAATGGTGGTGGAAGAACCCTGGAAAACCCCAGGAAGAACCACCGACCCACGAGATAATAAATGGAACAAAATTTGCTATTTAAATGTCTAACATAATGACAGTGCCTCACCTAAATATGTTTAATCTAAAATTATAGATTTTAATAAATAAAATGTAAACAAATATTAAACAATGTGAATATATAGAGTCTACCGTATAAAGGCGTCACTGGGTGACGGGAGAGGGACGATGGCACAGAGGGACTGACCGCACAGGGTGACACCATCAGAGGGGATGACACCAAAATGACTGTATTAAAAAAAAAAAACAACAATTTTTGTGCAGGAAGGCGGTCCATAGGGGATACCATTAGTTACCGCACTTGATTGTTTATAAAAATTTTGAATTTATCGTGCTGGAAAAGGGTCTATGGGGGGTGACACCGTGAGTTACCGCACTGGGTGACACCAACCCTAGTGACGCCACTGCTACCACATATCAACAAATATGCTCTTCCGTGTCAAAACCGGCGCATGCTGAGTAAAATACTTCCTGTTTTGAAGTCCGCAAACATCGAATAATGAACACATCTCCTCACTGAAAAATCAAGCTGTATTTATTTGGCAAGACCCTTACATTTATACAGCAAGTAATCATTAAGAATGAGTTCATGAAATAAGATTAAATTTTATTTGGATAAGGAAAGCGGAGTTAACATATGTAAATCACACGAATAAATATAGGTACTACGTACGTCAAGAAAAATAATGTTTATTGCAGCCGAGCCTCATAGCGGGTGATGAGTGAGCGAATGATGGCTCTCGTTTCCTAAACCACCTAAGGGTGAAGCGTCATATATCAGACGAATTATTACGAAAACGTTGGCAATTTAATCAATAATACGCTCAATGGTTTATGTTATCTTGTGTTAATTCCACTGTCCTGGAAAACTTATTTTAAGATTTTGGTAGAGGAATTTTCATTTGCTTGAATTTCCAAAACCCCTTGATGAAGTTTCTTTATTCATTGTATGCATTTTCAGTAAGCCGCAGAAATTTATTATCTGACATACTCATTTGATCTTTTGATCATCGAGCCAGAAAAATTTGCATTATGTTTGTGGTTCTGAACGTTACTTTTTTAAAATTCTTACATTTCCTTAACCCTTTTATGTAAATACCTTCATCCTTCAGGTGAATCATTAATTCTGCGACACGCTTCTTCTCTAATTTGACCATGGGTATCATAGTCACATATATACAAAATGTTATGCGAAGGCTTTGTCTGGAGTGATTTTTTTTCTATTTAAATGGATTTCCTAATCCCCTTGATGATATTTTTTTCACTCTAGATTTACCATCATGAAACTAAGACGATTCGTTCTGCGACATACTCGTTCAACTTTTTAACTTTGCGGCCGAAGTCGCACGTTTGACGCCGGTCTTAAGATGGGAGGAATTGCGTGCAGACCTTAGGCTTATTGTTAGAAAATATGCTCATAGATTGTGATCAAACCTTGAAGATTTTCAGGAGTAATACATTAACTTTCAAAGAGGTTTGACACAAAATTCTTTAAAATTGTGCAGGTACTGTACGTCACTCGAAAGATTTCCTGACAATCTAATAATGGAAGCATCTGTAATTTGGAATGAGTCGGCTTATTATTAACTTTATTTTGGATGAAATATTTGCTCAGAAATAAAAAAAAATATTTGGATGTCAGCATTAGGAACGCGTGAAAGCATGAATTAATTGACAAATAGATGAATAAATGGACGAGGGGGAGATCGTTGGAAGAATAATTAAGGTACATAAGAAAAATTTAATTTATTTTAAATACCATGGCGTGGCACATATATAGACAAGAAAGTTGCAAAATGGAAACTTACTTCTGCGTGAATTTATATTTTAGGGAAAAAAATGTTGGACTAAGCTAAGAAAGAAGATTTAAAAATTGATAAATACCAATCATGTCATTTTTTGTGGACGACCTCCTTAAAAAGAATTGAAAATCTACAAACATCAATCTTGGAGTTCCAGGCTGTCTGCCACTCTTATGTATAATCAATGTTTTTCTTGTTTGAATGTTTTTGAATTTATTAGTGAAGGAGATTACTTAAAATAGGGAGTAGAATTTGTGTGAATTACTTTCTCGTTTATATTGAATTATAAACCCAAATCCTTTTATTGTTTATAATAGCTTCTTAGTCGAGTCCAACTGCAAGCAACATTGGTCATTAACTACCTTAGCAGATCAAGGTCGATACTGTTTGTTCTATTTAATGCTCGTAACATACTGCATAGGCCCATATATGTCGACTGCTGATCTAGATTTGTGTAGTTTGCAATTGGATTCGATTATTAAGCTAGTATAAATGGTAAGAAAGATATTACATTTATGCCACCCAGAGGGAAAAATATAATTATAGTTATCGTATGCATTATAAAAAAATATTTAACTCCCTGTAGTGAACTTTTACTATTAAGGTCTCACTGGATAGTTTCGTATTTTGACACCCTCCTCATTTCTAAGGTAGAAGGCATGAACCTAATTATCCCAACTCTAGCATTTATAAATTCACACAGAAGCTAAATCTGTAATGTGGTTTACATTTACTTTGAGTTAGGCTTGTAAATGGGTTGCCTTGTTGGTGACTGCCTGTCACAGTTAGACTAGCATTGGAGATCTAATGCGTAACTTATGGGGCAAATGAGCAGCCGACTTGGCTTACATATTTACATGTGTCTGCTACAGAGGTATATATAAAAAAATCCACATGGTTGAGGGGTGATGAAAGGTATGTTAATTTGTTATAGTACTAGTGAACTTTAAAGATTAATAAGGTACATACTGACTCTTTTAGCCGGCTTCTCACAAGAACACGTTGAAAATAGTTCTTTCCTGTCAAAAATGAATATAAAAAGGAGGGGTTGGTGGTAGTATATGTTCAGTATAAAAACCACCAGTTGCATAAGGTAATAACCTTAATACCTAAGTCAAAATCTTAAAAGCATCCTTTCAACAAAAATCATTAATTAGCTTTTATTTGTATCTTTATTGCACAATTGTTATCATTTTTCTGCAATACGTCATCGTCGGATGAAATTTTGCCCCCACCCCCCATGTTCTGTAAGACCTAACATTGTAGCTAGAAATCCTGTCATCAGTCATGATGGTGTATCAGCCCAATCATCCATTCGAAATACATTAGAAATTAAATTCTATGGTTTGTGCAGAGTATTGGTCTTCAGAGAAACTGAAAAAATTCATGACAACTTCAACTACAGATATTTTTTATTATTTTGCAAAAATCAGCGCGTGTCCTTTCTATGACGCTTACCACTTACAATGCGACATGAAATGTCATACACGATATTGATCAAATAAAAATTTGACGAATTATGATGAATGTGTGAAGTCTGTTCCGAATTTTAAAATAATCATTTGTCCTTCTTTAAGAATAAATGTCGTCTGTAGGAAATCCAAACTCAATCAGAGCAGTTTTTCAAGAAAACAAAATGGCAAAAAAAAAAATAACGGAAAAAGAAAACTTGCAAGCGCTTATTTTCTATCGAGGGCAAAAGAAATGACAGAACACGTAGCTTCTATCAAACTGTATCCCATGCAAGTATAAATTAAATCATGGAAATTATGGTGCTCTCTCTCTCTCTCTCTCTCTCTCTCTCTCTCTCTCTCTCTCTCTCTCTCTCTCTCTCTCTCTCTCTCTCTCTCTCTCTCTCTCTCTCTCTCTCTCTCTCTCTCTCTCTCTCTCTCTCAGAATGGATGATCTTAAAATGTTTCCACACTGTTGACCCTTTATAATACATTTTTATAATCAATGAAAACGAAAATGAAGAATGCGTAAAATGAATCCCTAACAGTAAAATGCATGGTTTAATTATTAAAATTTGTATAATTAGTATTCAACCTGACTCAAACAAATTGTTAATGACTGAACTCACATGACCTTTTGCTTTTCCATATTTTGTATCACCTAATAATATCATGTAGCTGCTATACTCAGCGACAATATTTCAACAAAAACTCTTGATTGCAATAAAATTGTTAAAGTCTGAAAATAATTGAGAAACTAGGCATTGATAAGTGTTCGATTGTAAACAGAAAGTAAGTGACAACCGGAATTAGGGTGTAGTGTCTCTCACCGAAATGGATTTCAAGCCTGCAATCACACACAATTTTACTTTTGAATTCAGAAATAAATTTTTAAAAAATTTTAAAAAGTAGTCAAAACCCTTACATATAAACTTTCAGCCATTGAAATCCATTCTTGAATACTGTTACGCTTTTGGAAGGTACACGTCTTATAAATGTATCAATCCGCGCACGGTATGCGTTAACGAAAACAAACGTCTCTTAATTTTCTCACGAACACATTCATTAATTTAAGAAATAAACAATTTGAAGCATTTATACAAAGTTGCTGTCCTAAATTTATTATAAATTTTTGTAACTTTCTTTATCG